GGTACAGGTAGTTTTGAGTTTGGAATTCTTCAGGGGTACAGTGTTTTGAGCTTGGAATTCTTCAGGGGTAAATGATTTTGAGTTTGGAATTCTTCAGGGGTACAGTGTTTTGAATTTGGAATTCTTCAGGGGTAAAGGAGTTTGAGTTTGGAATTCTTCAGGGGTACAGTGTTTTGAGCTTGGAATTCTTCAGGGGTAAAGGATTTTGAGTTTGGAATTCTTCGGGGGTACAGTGTGTTGAGCTTGGAATTCTTAAGGGGTAAAAGATTTTGAGTTTGGAATTCTTCAGGGGTACAGTGTTTTGAGCTTGGAATTCTTCAGGGGTAAAGGATTTTGAGTTTGGAATTCTTCAGGGGTACAGTGTTTTGAGCTTGGAATTCTTCAGGGGTAAAGGATTTTGAGTTTGGAATTCTTCAGGGTTACAGTGTTTTGAGTTTGGAATTCTTAAGGGGTAAAGGATTTTGAGTTTGGAATTCTTCAGGGGTACAGTGTTTTGAGCTTGGAATTCTTCAGGGGTAAATGATTTTGAGTTTGGAATTCTTCAGGGGTACAGTGTTTTGAATTTGGAAATCTTCAGGGGTAAAGGAGTTTGAGTTTGGAATTCTTCAGGGGTACAGTGTTTTGAGCTTGGAATTCTTCAGGGGTAAAGTGTTTTGAGCTTGGAATTCTTCAGGGGTAGGGTGTTTTGAGCTTGGAATTTTTCAGGGGTAGGGTGTTTTGAGCTTGGAATTCTTCAGGGGTACAGTGTTTTGAGCTTGGAATTCTTCAGGGGTAAAGTGTTTTCAGCTTGGAATTCTTCAGGGGTAAAGTGCTTTGAGCTTGGAATTCTTCAGGGGTAGGGTGTTTTGAGCTTGGAATTTTTCAGGGGTAGGGTGTTTTGAGCTTGGAATTCTTCAGGGTAACGTGTTTTGAGTTTGGAATTCTTCAGGGGTAAAGTGTTTTGAGTTTGGAATTCCTCAGGGGTAAAGGATTTTGAGCTTGGAATTCTTCAGGGGTAAAGTGTTTTGAGTTTGGAATTCTTCAGGGGTAATGTGTTTTGAGTTTGGAATTCTTCAGGGGTAAAGTGTTTTGAGTTTGGAATTCCTCAGGGGTAAAGGATTTTGAGCTTGGAATTCTTCAGGGGTAAAGGATTTTGAGCTTGGAATTCTTCAGGGGGGTAAAGTGTTTTGAGCTTGGAATTCTTCAGGGGTAAAGTGTTTTGAGTTTGGAATTCTTCAGGGGTAAAGGATTCGAGCTTGGAATTCTTCAGGGGTAAAGAGGTTTGAGATTGAAATTTTTCGGAGTTTGGAATTCTTCAGGGGTAAAGTGTTTTGAGTTTGGAATTCTTCAGGGGTAAAGGATTTTGAGCTTGGAATTCTTCAGGGGTAAAGTGTTTTGAGTTTGGAATTCTTCAGGGGTAACGGATTCGAGCTTGGAATTCTTCAGGGGTAAAGAGGTTTGAGATCGAAATTTTTCAGAGTTTGGAATTCTTCAGGGGTAAAGTGTTTTGAGTTTGGAATTCTTCAGGGGTAGAGTGTTTTGAGCTTGGAATTCTTCAGGGGTAAAGGATTTTGAGCTTGGAATTCTTCAGGGGTATAACTATGAAAAACATGTATCCTCGACAGGGGGGGTACGGATATTAAATGGAATAGCCCATTTCAAAAGAAACAGCCTGTCTGACATTTTACAGCAACACACATTGGCGCGCACAATATTTATATATTTTCGCTACAAGCCATTGTTTTCTCAACAGAAACAAAAGGAATTTGAGTTAAGATTCGTACCCGATGAATATTTAAAACCTTTATCTCTTTTTGATGACTTGCAGTGCTCTGAATATTTATATTTTGTCACCACACTTTGCGTTTGAAAATGTCGATTGATAGTTCTCAAAGTCTGAATTAAAAACTAATTATTCAGTAAATTATCAAATTGATAGAACATACCTTAATCATGTCTTTATTAAACTTCGGATTTTGTGCTTCTTTGCTGTATTTAAACGTCGTATCTTCACAAAACACCTGGCGAGACTTCGTTAAACTACGACTCAACGGCGTAATATTGGCATAGCTAGAACACGCCCTAAATATGAAACATTCAAATACAAACTTCTGATTGGTGGTATTACAAAACAATCACTCTGATTGGTTAAACCTCTCCTAAGTGAATTTATAATTAAATCATATTGGCATGCAAAATTATTATTCAGAATTTATAATTTCTTATTTTCTTTACCGCGCATTGGTAAAATGCAAAGTGCCTCAAACCACTCCAAACTTTCTTAAAACTGTCAATATTCATAATGTATATGCACCCTGTAAATATATTACGCATCTTTAAACTAAAAATTATTACCAAAAACGAAAACCCTTTAATTAAAACCTTACAATAAGACAGGGTGTTCTTTCATTAAAATGTTTTATAAACCAGTAATCAGTACAGCGATGTAGCGATATTTCGGGCCGCCTTTCACAACAAATAACATCACAATAACTGCACGAACTCGTCTCGTTACTGCAGAATCGGTTTCCCAGTCCATTGAGTTATAATTTCCATAACGTCCATAACTGACCGGTCGCAATAACGTAAAATAAGCGGGTATTTGTAAAAAATCATACTATGACGTTGTATTATAAGATTATTAGGTTTTTGTAAACAGTTGATTAAGTATCATCATCGCTCCAGCAAGGTTCATCTCAAATTCAATAATGTTTTAAAGACAACAATTATGTCTGGGTAATTGTAGACTAATGACGGTGAAACAAAAAGGACTATAAAGTTCATTGACGATGGATAACAAAGTAAGGCAAGATCTGATCAGAGTTTTCAATAATGATCATTTCACCACTCGCGTTGGCAGCTGCGCCCATAGGTGCCATTCTTAATACTTTTTTTGAATTGTAACCATGGGGTATATCATGACGGCTTGAATCTAGGAATTCGTTTCCAGGTAGAATGCGACACAGGAGCAGACCATCGCCATAACCCAAACTGACTGCAGGGAATTCAGAGAAATAGTTTCCTTTACCATAGGCTTGTCTTTGGGCGTATCTCAACTGCAAGTTGGTTTTCAGGATATTTGGTATATTGACTTTGTTGGTTCCATGATAAGCAAGAATTTCTCGGTCAGGAATGCCCTGGCTTTGGAATTTTCTTTTGGTTGCTTCGTATTTCTTCTCAAGATCCCTATTGATGACAATATCAATGGAGGAAATCGTAGCTTGTTGCGGGGTAAGAGGTGGATTACCCTTAGCTGCCATTCTTCTAAAATGGCACTCGGCGAAAGTGTAGTACATTTGAAACGGATCTTGAAAATTGACCGTTCTTGATGCTTGCATCTTCTTTACAGTAATAGACTGGGGGGTGTAGGCTGATGGAGGAGGTGGTAGAACGGTGTTGGTATCGGAGAAATGAATGATATATTGAGGAAGTGCTTGATCTGGATCAAAGATCACGAACTCATCATTCTTCACAGCTGTTCCTCGAGGAGCATACACGGAATCGTATCCATGAGATCTCAACTTCTGCTTGTTCAAATTGTAGTCAGCCTGTTGAACTGTCTTCGATTTTCCAAGAATAACTTGACAGAGGAGAAGTTTCTGGGAACCTTTGGTGTAGATCTTTTGTGCGCTCTTGGAAGAATCTGTAGCGAAGTAGATTCCTTGGCCATACATACCGCGTTTGGTAGGTGGAGGATTCTGATCTGGCATTCTGAAACCATCTTTTGTGATACCCCTCACGCCGTTATCATCTGTACCATGGAACTTTGTGTCGATGTAATCCCCAAATGCTCTGGATTTTGCTTCTTCAAATTTCTTTTCCAAAACAAGATTAGTAACTTTTTCAATCCTGGTGACTTTAGGGAACCAGTTGTGCATTGGTAGTACGAATTTCACCACCAAATCGTTAACCATCTGATATTCTGCAGCCGTTGGACCAGAGCGGGACATTGGATCAACTGAAAATGTAGGCACTGCTTTCTTGCTGATCTTATCTTCGAGATCTTTGACTCTCTTCTTTGCATCTTCGTGGAATTTCTTCATCTTTTCTTTGTGGATATCATGACAATTCTTGCAATCACCCTTCTCGCAGTCGTCTCCGCACGCATTTGTACAAGGATGACCGCATTTTCGCTTTCTTCCACACGGTTTAAAGGGGCATTTTACTTCATTATCTTTCTGATAACATTGCTTCTGGATTGGATGACCACAGGATCCCTTTAAGTACACGGTGGCAGTGCACTTCCAAGTGATTGGTTCAGAACATCTTCTCTTTTTGGGTGAAGGATGGTTGCAACCAGGGAATCTGTAGTCGATCATTTTGGGGCAGCTGTCATGGCCATGAGGCTTTCCACACTGATTAACACAGCGATGTAAACCACATGAATTCATTTCCTCACAGGGGTGGGTGCATGATATATCCTCAATTCTCACGTAACATTTCTTTTCGGTTTGATGGCGGCATGCTGGAAAAACCGCAGTGACTTTTTCATCACAACGAATATCACATGTTCGTTGATGACATTCCTTCATTGTTTCATGCCCACACCCCAGACGAACTCTTACTTCTATCTTACAGCGCAGTTGGGAAAGAGGTGTAGAGCATTTACGTTTAACAGGATGGCCACAGCCAGGGAATATATCATCAACAATTTCAACACAAACTGCGTGATGGTGTCGAGGTAAACAAGATCTCTTGCAGCTGTGTCTACCACAAGGATACAGGTCACCACATCTCTCATTGCACAGCTGTTTAGGATCAGTCATGACTCCTTTCACTTTGTCTGCATCAATGGCTTCGTATCTCGACGTGGCATGTTTGGTGCATTGAAGAGGGATGGCATATCCAGCACATTCTTGTCCGATCATTGAATTTATCATCCTGTACCAGGGAGAATTTCTTGCATCTCTTAGGACATTGTGGTTTCCAATGAAATACATACCACACTTGGCCCTCGACTGTGCCACGCAACGACGGTTCATCTGGTTCAAGAAACCAATTTTATTTTCGTTGTTAGAGCGCACGAGTGAGACAAGGACGTATTTGTTTTCATCACCTTGGTACATGTCGATGGTTTGAACTTCGATGAATCCTTCTTTCACGCCATTCCCCTCATCTTTGTCTTCGTCAGTGGCAGTTTCTTGGAATAATTCCGGATGTTTGGTCTTAGCTTGCTTCAACTTGTTTCTAAGAAGTTTAGTCTGTCCGAGGTAGGCTGATAGCACTGTGATCTCAGACGGACGACAGGCATTCCATAGAAGATACAAAACCAGAGCTATGATGCGCTCTGCTTCTTTTTCATTCGTATAGGTGCGATCGTGTTTCTCGGGGTATCCATGTGACCAAAAAAACATTGACTTCCCGATACATTTCAAAGGTGCGTTCTGAGACACTAGCTCCAAATTATCTTCCAGGTCTGGGTAAATATCTTGTAGTAGAGCTGAAAATTCAGGACGCATTCGGTTTTGCTTGGTCAAGGTTTTGTACGGGAATTCAGCGTCGATCAATCTCTCCATCATAGACTTATCAAACTTATAGTTCTTGCACAATTCGTAGGTATCAACTTGTGGTCTGAGTTGTTTGTGGTCACCAATCAGAATGAGATGCTCAATAGATGGCGTCAGCGCAGCTAGGAGACCGGGTTCAAGAATTTCAGCAGCTTCCTCAACAATCACGACACTTGGACCAATATGATGAATAAGATCATGATTAATAGACGCTCCTGTGATGGTCACACCAATGATCTTTTTCTGTGACAGCATTTCAACTTTCTTATTCATTTCCAATTCCTCTTTTCGATTCTTCAGACTCTTAAGCTTTTCAATAAGTTCGTCAAACTCTTCCGACGTGCTGGATGTCTTCTCTTTGAGAATACAATAAAGAAATTGCAATCTCTCAATCTTGTTTAGGTCCCATAGATTCTTCACGGAACGAATTTGCGGACCAACTTCCATGTTGTTAGGGTAGTCGGAAATGTCGATCAGAACATCTTGGCTGCTGTTGTTCTTGACGGATTGAAAAAGAACCAAACCATCTTTTGATCTCTCGCCTTGCTTGAAGCCAGGAACCATTCTTGTTTCAAGTAATTCTTTGACGTGTTCTTCATCACCGCTATCTTGGTCATCACCATCAACAGGCATGTTTGAAGATCCTCCTCTTTGCTTACTCTCGCTGCGAACATGAAGAACAAACTCGGCTTGAAATTCTTTCACGTGTCGAAGATCTTGCCTGTCTGGTAACCACACTTGAAACGCTTTGTCGAACATTTTAACGCAATGAGCGGCGTTTTCGTCGTTTTGGGCCACTCCTGTTTCCAAGATATTTTTAACAGAGCCAAAATTTTGTGCACTAGCGACTACCAATGCTTCAACCCAAGATCTATCCGCAAATGTTTTAGTATTCACTCGGTATATTAGGCGTCCGCTTTTCTTCCAGTCGGCGTCAACGAGAAGTGAACGCAACTGCTCTTCGCTGAGCTCACCAATGAGACTTTTCTTCGTCAAGTGACAGCTTGTATCCACTTGGGAGGACAACTCTTTGATTTGTGTTGCCACTTCATCAATTTCATTTTTCGTTTCTTGAATCTCGATAAACATTGCTTTGCTGTAACTCTTGTCCCTCATCAGCGATCTCATGATTGACTGAAGATTACATTCTTCCAACTTCGGCTCCTTCGACCTGCTTCCAATTCTAACTAGATCATCTTTTTGACAAAATTCCAACATGTGTTTTAGGAACTCGTCAAGGGCGTGGTTCTTGTAGGTCAACAGTAAGATGGGTTTGTCGAGCTTCGGACTAAGAGATAACAACAGCTGAACGATTTTCACTCCGATGAATGTCTTCCCACAACCTGGTGGACCTTTAGGAAAGATAACATTATTATTATGATTATTATTATTATTATTATTATTGATCTTTAAACACGGTAACCTTTCACATAGGTGATTTTCAAAGGGCCGTGCTGAAAATACATACATTATAAAAGAAGGATAAACTTATTACTAATAAACTAAACAAAATTACTGTACTTATTTACTTATTTACAAGATGTGATTATTTAATAGATGATGGACAGATTTTAAACTTGTTGACTCTCTTAGGGTTTTCAACAAGTTTATTGGGATGTTGTTCCAATACGCTGCTCCTCTGTACGAAAAGCTATTTTTCAAGAAATTCGTTTTTGGTTTAGGTTGAGACAGCTTAAATTACTACTGCGCAGTACGTAACCACTGTTTTCACAAGTGTGAAATAGTTGTGTTACGTATTCTGGAAGCAAGCCATTAATCACTTTAAATGTCATAAAGAGATTATAGTCAGTTTTCAAAAGAAAGGCGTACATGTACAACACTAAGAGAACGATTAGAAGACACTGCAGAAGATGTTGGATGCGAGACTACAGTGCCTAACCAACCCGTCGATTCTGAGGTTTCATCCCACATTAGAGAAAGTGATAGCTTAACGTCGATTGCTTGAGCTCTCTATGATTGGCAAAATTATCGTTCCTACCTTGTATAATAGCCAACCTATTCATAAGAGCCTGTTTCAATGCTCCACATTGACTTGCTTCCAGGGATGTACTAGAATGTATGTTAAATACTTCCAGAAACCGTTGAAAGTCCATTTCTCCATTAGATATATCATTGGGGGAGTTCCACAAGTGCCAAAAGCTTTTTGTTGACGGATCGTCTTTGTAAATAGGACTTGTGTTCACTGTCACAGTCTGCTGTAGGTAATCTGGAAGATGTGGTGTACGACTGGCTTGAATGATTTCTGCTTTAAGGGGGAAATTTTCCATGTCGAATTCTTTTAAACTTCGTAGGACAGGACTGAGGGAGTGATAATAAGTCGGTGATTCTACCATGACTGCCGAACCTGTTTTCAAAAACAAGAATTGAAGTGAGAAAACTATCTGGGTCAGTCGAAACACTAATTTGTCTGTGTATACTACCAAATTTACCAATAAGCTCTTTGTGTGAATGTTAATGCAAGTCAGGACAATGAGTAACTAGATCTGGATGGCACTATTGGTATGCTAAGTGTTAGTTAAAAACAATTACCTGCATGAGCTTGTAGAGAACTTATAATCTCGCTCATTTTCTTGGTGTTCTCATCTATCAACTCCAGCATAATGATCTGATGTTTGTTCAAAATATCTTCATCCCTATTGGACACCACAGCCCAAATGACGTCGTCAAACTTCCGGTTTAGCGATACACACACCAAATTCCCGAACATGAGTTGAGGCGAAGCTTTCCAATTCTTGACCAGTCTAGCTGGCGTGAAGTGAAGTGCGAGAGAGAATCGGCCATTTTGGATCTCAAAGCCAGCTAGATGCACATTATGATACACGTTCATATCTCTCACATCCAGTTCGCATGCTTTGAGGTCTTTTATTCCATGTTGGATAGCGGAAAATGTCTCTGCTCGGAGCAGTCTGAAGTATGTGTCCATGTAAGACTCTGGATCCAGGTAGGAATTCTTCACTGGAGAAAGATGTTTGTCCGCTTCGACCAAATTACCAGCCAACTCATTTTCAGTCGGAATAAATGGTAGCTCCTGCCAGACGCCTAAAAACATTAAACATATAAAACCTTACTACGGGAATGTTACTCGAAAGCACTGCATACTGTTATGTTTGTTGTGTGTTTTGTAAAACTATACAACCTTTTATACATGAACACATAGGTGTTACAGTGCGTCTACTGTAAGTGGGGCCACTTAGAGAAGACTAACCAATCGCATTGCAGAACAAAAAGAAAAATCTAATCAAACTAAAGCTCGTCCAATCAAAAGAAAGATTCAGGAAGCCATTAACTGCAGTGTTTACTTTTACAAGTCTATTTTCACCGTTTGACATTCGTTAATTTGGTCAAATTGTTTTTGGCCTAATGCTGATTGGCTGATGCGCCGTTTGTTGATTTTTTCAATTTTTGTTCTGCAATGTGATTGGTTAGTGTTCTCTAAGTGCCCCCACTTACTGTAGACGCACTGTAAATTTAAGAATATACACGTAGATGAAGGTATACTCAACAGGACAGGATCGACCAAATGAATAAAAATGTCAAATGAATAAAAAATAAATGAATAAAAACCTTCATCACCAATCATGGCGTTTTCTCCAGATAGGGCAAGAGATAGGAATTCAAATAAAAAATTCTGCGTGGATTGGCTTTGTATAGTATCATTGATAGCACTAACTGTAGGCAAGAGACAGCGAGACACTGACGAGACTTGGCGAACAACTTCATAACAAAAACTCCGAATAAGCTCAGTGGATAAATAGGTCTTTGTATCTTGGAAGTAAAATATATCATGTTCAGCAACATAACTGCTTGATTTTATCATCATTGGTAGACTTTCATTATTTGATGCTTTAAACAGCATTCCCTGTGCCACCGTCTTCACCATTTCCTCCAAAAGCTTTTTGGAAGCTTTGCCAACACGTAAAATTAACTTGAGCAACTCGAGAAACTCTTCAACATAACATACACTTCCAGAATCGTCTGTGTAAAAAAATGAATAGCAAAATACGTTTTGACTGAAGAATAACCTTTGTAGCTGTAGCAGAACCGTAGCACCCGGTGAGGGAGGGGGCTTGGGTAGCATTTTGACAGCCCTCCAATAAAAACAGTACTGTATAGTACAATAAAGACAAACAGCAAAGCAATATTCATAGTCTAGCTGGCTAATAAACAAATTGGTTTAATATATCTCAGGTTTTGTATACTTAGAAATATTACAAACCTCCATCTTTTGCAAAAGTAGGAGATCCAAGAAAACTCCACATGACTGTACTGGACAACGTTTCCATAAGCACATTCTTACAATCAGCTGATTTCAAATCGTCAGTCAACTTCTTAATGTAGTCCAGCAGTTCTTGGGTTGTGCGCTGTGAATACTGGATCACCTTTACTTTTCTCGCCATTGGTTTTTCCTTGTCTCTGTCACCGAGGACAAACTCCACGGAATCTCCGCCTTTCAAGGGTAGGACATACTTAGATATGTTGTCAGAATACATCTTTACATCCTTATTTCTGTTATATCCTTCTGGTAAGTCACTCAAGGGTTTAATGAATATTGGTCTCTCATTTCGGATCTGACATAATGTTCCTTTGTGCCATTGCGCACGTTCTTTTGGCTTCAGACCGACAGTTTTTCGCCTCTTCTTCTGTGAACTCATTGGCTTTTGTCTCCCACTATTGGGATAAACAGAAGTTTGCATTTGAGAAGAATGCTTTTACATGCATAAAATCTTACAGCTTGATGACGACCTGGTTAGACCCAGTGAACTCAATCTATTTACCTGGAACACAGATGATAGATAATACCAGATGAATCACTCAGCCAAAATTGTGTCCGCGATTTTTTATGAGCACGCGTTGGCCGCCATTTTGGCAGTAAGTATAATCCACGCCATGAAACGTGAGCAATCACGCATTTTGGCAGTAAGCGCCATTTTGGCAGTAAGTATCGCACGCGTCATCTGGCGTGATAGCCTCGCGAAAATCGCGGACACGAAAATCATAGGGATAGGTACACAGTGATTCATCTGGTATTATCTATCATCTGTGGTTAAACCCAGTGAACTCAATCTATTTACCTGGAACGATAACATTCAGTCATTTGGTAGTTAAAAAGTGAAGCCTCGCGTGAGCAACGCGTGAGCAGTGGCGTCAGCTCTCCACGCCATATAGTACGTCAGTTTCAGTCCCCTTATACGCCATCCCCTTATTACGTCCACGAAAATGTTAACTCGCTCACGCCAATCCACGTCATCCTGGCTAGTACAACCGGAAGTTTTTATCAAGTTTTGGTAGGTACAAAGTGCCGGTTGTACTAGCCAGGATGGCGTGATTGATGACGAATCGCTTGTAAAAACGCGGACAAATATTTGCTTGAGTTACGCTTCTGCTGTTACTTCCTATTCTGTGAAGTGGCGTTGGCAATGGCTTCACGTTTCTCTCGCATGTTATCATTCCAGATAAAAGACACGGAGTTCACTGGTTAGACCCCACCCCCACGGGGACAGGAAAGGAAACAGCATGTAATGGCGAGCATATAACATTACAGTACCAAGTGTACGGTTCAGTTATAAATAACGTTTTACAGTTATTACAACTGACAGCTTGTCAACAAGATGTGTTAGCACTGCTTATTCCCAGTTGTTGACAAGTCTGGAACAGAACTTACAAAGAACTTATAAAGAACTTATTATACAAATAACTTATTAAGTCTGGAACAGGTTGTTATCGTCTTGCAACAAAGTTGATGAGGCTAACAAACTCGCAACAAGTTGTTCCAACAAGTCTGATATCGTCTGCATGTAACAAGTTATTAGTGAGCTTAAAGCCCCGTTTACACGAGCAAATTTTATTTGACAAATTTCATATGTCAAAGATATTTTGCTTCCTTCAACTACGAACCGCAAACCGCAGTTTGTTTGTCAAATTCATGTTCAAAAGAAATTTGTCAAATAAAATTTGCTCGTGTAAACTGACAACAGGAACGGCATGAGCAACGTTAAAAGACTGAGTCAAGAATGTTGGTTGGTTGATAACGTCAAATTTGCTTCCGGGCAACGTTCGTGTTGTCAAAAACATCGCTTGGTTGAGCTCGCTTTGTTACCGTCATCAACCTTGTAACAAGGTGCTAACAACTTGTTCCAGACTTGTCACAACAACTGGAATTAAACAAGCAGTGCGAACACATCATGATATTGGCTTGTCAAAAACCTTGTTTTCAGATCCGTAACAATTTGCGCGACTCTCGATCTATACCCAAACGTGCAAACACTGTAGATCTATGAGAACAATTAAAAACTGATCAGCTATCCATTATAGTTCATAGCTCACTAATTTATTCCCCTTCAGCAGGAAACATACTGAATAATGAATGTCTTGCGATTCTTCTGGAAAAAATACCTGCAGTGGTGGCTACATATGCATGCATATTTTAAAAATATAATGTTTCATTAATAAAGTTAGGCATGCATACATAAACTGCCAAAGAAAATTATTTCAAAGAAGTTCCTCGCAAAAAAGCCTTCGCGGCTCTTCGCCAAGTGGTTTCAATCTTTTACAGGTGAGTACAAAAATTACGTTTTTCTGTGGAGTGTCGGGAGTGACAAATATGCAACTGATGTTCAACAATAAGTAAAGTTTTTAAATGTATATGAGTATTTCTTAAGATATCACTTACCTGAACTGCAGGAGACCAAGAGGAAACAATCGGAAGAAATGTTATAGTGGGGAGTCCTTTTTAAATTCTTTCCTGAATTCTTTCTTAGTCAATGTCAAAATTTTAAGACTCTGCCGACTAGCCGGCTATTTTGAAATTTAAAACCAGACAGGTACGCATTTCGTCATTTACGTGGAATCTGCCGTTCTTGGAAATAGACAGGAAGTTGTGTCAGAGTCCAGAAGCGATTTGGCTCATCCCCCGCTGTTTTTCAGTACATGTAAATTTATTAATTTTACCAAGGCAATATAAGCGTGAGAATATTTTGAAAAGGAGCAGTATCACCAAGTTGCTGTTAACCAACTTAAACACCGAAATTATCTTTACACTTCTCTGTGTTTATATGGAAGAAAACAGGACTACTGCTACATATAAATCCCCTTCCAACTCTGCTAGGATAATGACCTCACTTCCTGAAAGTTCCACGGGCACTCATCAGTCGTATCATATTCAATCGGAAAGAAAAATGCATGGCGGAAGGATCCCCTCCAGCGTTATAAACAGCGTTATTCCGTAAGTGATTTCTTGATGGCAGGTTTCTTAGCGATATGGACTATGGTCTTGCTGATGTTGTAAGCAAGTTTAAATAAGGTATGGATTTAAAACAATTCAAGGCAAAGATGCAACTCTTGCTCATGTTTGACCGCCATGCTCTGATCGACTCATACTTGAGAAAAGCCTGAGTCTGTTCCTTTTAAAACATTCGCAAAGATGTTTCAACGCCTTAAATTTTAGTGACTTTAGTTTACTAACAGCCGTTGTGTCCAATACCGACCTAGTGGGGGAGAAACGTCACAACTAGCGGCCGCGAGGGAGACTAATACCAACCGTACTTGTGCAAGTTTTTGGAACTACGGTATAGTTTACAGAAAATGCATCTCCAAAAATTTCGGTAATACAAAAATTTAGTTCTCAAAAACAGAAGAGTGAAGCTATTTCTCCTCGTCTTTTTGGCGCTTTCATTTTACCTTTCCAAGAACTGGTTTTTCTGAGAACGACTCTGGACAATCAGCTTCCGGCTTCCGCCACAACAAAAAATGCGAATATTTCTTGATGTGGCTTGTACGAATATAACTGCTTCTTAAGGGAACGTTTAAAGTCTGTAGATGGCATTTTTTCATCTTCCAGACGCATGTTATGTTTAGTTGTCAATGTAGCCACCGCAATACGCTTAATGTGAGCCAACACATCTGTGTTTTGCTAATGTCTTGTACAGGGGCCGTTATATAAAAAGGTAGATAAAGTTAACTACAGTTAGTGGGAAATTTAACCAATTTAGAGTAAACTACCAATTAACTACAAAGTATTTGTATCTAAGAGAGACTAGAGGAGCGTGATTCATCCATACTACTGATAAACTAGTTAATCTTTTAATCCTTCATACTCATAGTTTCCATTATTTGCCACAGCAAGATGTTTTTTAAAAGGGCCATATGTATCTAAGTATATTTGTAGTTTTTTGTTAATTTCAGCCTGAATATTGTCATAAAGGTGATTCTTAAGAAAATGAAAAGAAAGCACCCGGACAACGGACACGAGACAGACAGTCCAAAAAAAAAGAAAAAGGGACCACCGACCTTAGGTCTGAAGCGGGCCAAAGGCAATGAGAAGGACACACCATGGTTCAAAGGAAGATTATGCCCAATCAAAACTCCGAAAGCTTGGTTTATAAAACCAATGGCGGAATTGCCAGAAGGGTATTGCAAATCAAAAGATGTGTTTATGTATCCTAATTATATATCTGAATATGTTCTACCTGTGACGGTGGGTGATATGTTGGAATTCGTCTTAGGAGATCGAGACAAGACAAGACCTATGGCAAGGAAAGTACGTGTATCTCAATATTCACCGCGAACATGCAAGGAATTAACTGAGTATATGAGAAAGCTAACTAAGGATTTGGATGGTGTTCAAATGAAGAACGTACTTGTGCAAGTATTACCATGTACTGCATTGTGGAGGTTTCTTGGGTCACCAGTATTTAAAAAAACAGCAGGTTCGTAATCTCGATATCTATTCGTCTATTTCTCTATCTGCATGCATATCTAGCATGTTATATATATTATATAAAAACGACGCACTAGAGTCTGGTTTACACTATCAAAGTTTCTGTGGTCACAGTGGTAATTTTGCATTGGTAAATTCTAAGTTTTGAAGGATTTGTAAGAAGGGAACTGATTCACTGTTTAACACTAAGTCAGTTCCCTCAAACATTTCCTTCAAAAGTTAGAAATTACCCATGCTAAATTCCTACTGTGAAGTGTGATCACAGAAACTTTGATAGGGCCAAAAAAAAAATATGTGGGTTTCCGGTTTCTTCGTATAAAAACTTAGGTAGGGTAGGTCGGTTTTAACTTTTTTTTTTAAACTTTTTTTTTAATTTTCCGAACAAGCGGACGCCATTTTGTTTAGTCAGTGCTTCCACTTCCAAAGATAAATTTTCCTAATATTGCCTCAAATTTCAATTTTCCACAAACTTTTTCCTCTAAGTGGAAACACTTACAAGCATGATCCAATAAAAAAGTTTAGGGTCGGGATTTCGACGTCCAAAAGCTAGGTAGGGTCGGGAAACCGGAAACCCACATATTTTTTTTTTGGCCTAGTGTAAGCCAGGCTTAAGTATTGTAACCTAACACCAAACTTTGTGTAAGAGTTTAAGGACAAATGACAATGGTCATCTGAATTTTGTATCTAAATAAAAATAATCATAATAAACAGGCACTGGAGTCCCAAAAGAAAATCTGCTTTTTTGAAAGAACTGTTCTTACATGCAACTGAGGCTGCCTCCTCAACAGGCTCTTCTTCAGTTATGTACTATTTAAAATGCTCATTAATAATTCGTAAACATTGTGGCAAATCATGTCAGTCATAATATATCATGTGGAGTGACTTTATATCTGATAAAACTCATCTTCATTAGTATTCTTTATATAATTGTTCATCCTAATTAGTATGATTATATAATGGTCCATCCTAATTAGTATTCTTTTGTAGTCGTATTTTAAGCTATTCAAAACACTCGTTGTCGTGTTTTATCATCTGATAAAACACTCCTACTCGTGTTTTAAATAGTACATATTGTGCGCGCATTGATAGCCTGATAAAGGCGAAGCACCTGCGGAAAAATACACAGTAATAAGACAACAGCATTTTGCAGGACCCCAAACCACTGTTGCAAATGTAAAACACAGACGCACCAAACCGCCAACATCCAATTTGAATTAATTTATCTTTCATTCTTCATGGTTTACAGATGAAGAATTAACCAGCATGGTCTATATTGAGCTCCTCTTAAATTTACTGAAGGGTATTTTACATAATGGAACACATTACAAGACTCTTTTGGAAGATGCCATCAAGAACATCACACAAGGAAGAATATTTCAAGCAACAAACGACGCCAGCCTGCCAGCGATTATCAGGTCTTGCAATTATGGAGACAATGAACAGTTCTACTCTGAGGAACAGAAATTATTTTTATGCGCAAAACTCGTTCGAACTTTTTGCCAAGATGCAATTCGCCAGGTTCCGTCGATCACTCGTTGTCTTTTGCCCACAGTTGCTGCAATCAGCGAGAAGATATCAAGCCCCTCAATACAGAGTTTTTTATATAATCTCTTATCGCTCAGTTCTTCAGGAGAAAGTGGGTTCGTCGCTAATGCAAGTACCTGGAAGGAACTACCTTTAATCCCAACTGATCACGAATTAGCTGGTAATTTGGTTGAAAAAGACAAAAATCTGATGCGTGTGAGAACTCGCCTTCCCTATGACGATCCAGAGCAGTACATGGATACCTACTTCCGACTACTTCGCGCGGAAACCTTTTCAGCAATCCAGCATGGAATAAAAGATCTCAAGGCGTCCACATTGGATCTCAGAGATATGAATGTCTATTACAACGTCCACCTTGCTGGCTTTGAACTTCAAAGCGGTCGGTTTTCCCTTGCCATTCATTTCATACCCACCAAGAAAGTGAAAAGATGGGAAGCCTCGCCTCAACTCATGTATGGTAACTTGGTGTGCGTGTCCATCAACCGGACGTTTGATGACGTCATTTGGGCAACGGTGTCCAATAGGGATACAGAATTATTGAACCAAGATCAAATCATTATGCTAGAGTTGTTGGATGAAAATGTCAAGAGTATAAGCGAAATTATTAACTTGCTACAAAGAAAAGGAGGTATTTATGTTTTTGCATGATTGTGGCACAATGGTTTGCGCATGCAAAAACAAACTAAAATATCATAGGAAAAAAACAAAAGTCATGTTTATTGGATCGACGCATAATCTAAATAATAAAATAGGAAATAGACCCGTAGAGATTAACAAAATCCCAGTCCCACAAACCAATACATTTCAATGTCTAGGTGTAAATCTAGATGAAAAATTAAGTTGGGAGAAACATATTGATTCTGTATGCCATAAGATTAGCGCTGGAATAGGAGCAATTAAAAGAATAAAACCTTATGTTACACACAAAACCTTACATGATGTCTACAAAACATTAATTCAGCCTCATTTTGATTACTGTTCTCCCCTGTGGGATAACTGTGGTTTGGGACTTCAAGACAAATTGCAAAAATTCCAAAATCGAGCAGCAAGGGTGATTACCGGAGCTGACTACGATGTAAGATCGTCTGAAGTCCTAAACAAATTAGGCTGGGAAACCCTGGCTAGGAGACGAGAACAAAACAAGCTAGTATTGATATATAAAGTCTTGGGGAACCACACTGCGCCAAACCTTAAAGATCTTTTTTCTCGGAGAAATGCATCGCAGAATATTTATGATTTACGCAATAGCGAAACTGATCTCTCGTTAAAAAAACCGAAAACGGAATTTCTAAAGAAAACATTTGGATACAGTGGAGCAATTCTATGCAATAGTCTCCCGCAAGATGTCAAGGCGGCTGAGTCAATTACGTCATTTAAAACAATGGCGAAATTGCATTTAAGCAGATGATAAGCTAATTTCTCCAGGACCAAATGATGGGAGGACAATATAGATTGTGGGCGGGAGGGGGGTTAGTTTTGCGTGAGGGTGGGTGGATACTTGTTTAGGGGGTGGAGGTTTGGGAGGAAGATGATAAAATTTTAAGGAATAGTAACGTTTTAGGGAATAGTAACGAATTTAACATTTAGCTCTTTGTGTGTATACGCCCTTCGTGGAAACCAGTTGTAAATAATTGTCGAAGTTAGCGTATTGAAATAAAGTTTTACATACATTACATACATACATGCGTTTTTCACTCCTGTGATGGGCAATAGATTCCTACCAAACATCAGAAGTGTTATTTGCTGTGTTGGTGTAATGTATCAAGTGAATAAGATGCTTGTGTGATGTTACTCTGATAATATCATGATTGCAGGTATTCCCTTTGTTCTCGCAGGGCAATTAATAACTAATACACCTCATTATATTCATTTTTTCTAATCCTACCCGCTTTTACGTCATTCGGGTCATTTAGTAAAATTCCCTCGGGCCTTCGGCCCTCGGGAATTTTACTAAATGACCCTCATCGAGCGGCGCCCAAGGGAATTATACTAAACGACCCTCATCGGGCGGGACGTTTTAATAGCTAATTCGCTTCTTTTTATGCTATTACTTATAAGTGTATATCCACACCGGGCAGGCTTGAAAAATATGCCTGGCCACGGTGGGAATCGAACCTACGACCTTTGGAATACTAGCCCAATCCTCTGCCAACTGAGCTACGCGGCCAGGCCGGTTCGAGTATGTGATATTTCGGAACGGAGTCTAGCTCCTTCGATATCAATGTAATCTAATAATCATGATATTTGCTGTGTTGGTTGTTGCATGATATTTGCTGTGTTGGCAGAGCATTGGGCTAGTATCCAAAAGGTCGTATGTTCGATTCCCGCCGTGGCCAGGCAAATTTTTCAAGCCTGCCCGGTGTGGATATACACTCAGAGTAACATCACAAGCATCAGAAGTGTTATTTGGGTACTATTCTGTGGGGGGCACTTGGAAAATGCATACCTTCGTTAGGGAATTACGTTATTTAGATATATAGATAGATAGATATTTTAACCCATTTTTACCCAAAGTTAACCATTTAACTCAAAGTTAACCAATTTGTCATTGGACAATGCACATTAGCCCCGCAAATTTTCGTATTAATTACGTTAGTTTTCGAGTTATCATGCTGACAAACAAAGACACATTTTCAAAATTTTTAAACTGAAGGGGAAATAAAAGAGCAAAATATCAGGTGAATCTCTAGAGTAATCCAGTATAAGCAAGTGTTATCATTGACAGTGGCTCTTATATAATTTCGTTTTTCAAAAGGTTCAGGAGTTATGGTAGAATCACCGACCTACTACCACTCGCTAAGTCCCGTTCTACGAAGTCTCAAAGAATTCGACATGGAAAACTTTCCTCTTCAAGCAGAAGTCATCTACGCTAAACCTGCGCTGGAACGTCCCGGGTACTATAAAGACGCCAGGTTTAAAACTTCGATAATCTGCTCGTCCCAAATGACAGGTACAGCAAAAGAAACGCAAGGAGATAAGCCTGGTGAAGTAAAGGATTCTAGCAATATATTAGAAGCAAGTGAAAGGGAGAACCCCCTAGAGATGAACGTGAATGACTGCGTCTCGTCTGGAAATAATATTGACGATTTTAGTGAATTTGACGATTCTGGTGATTCTATTGACGATTCTAGAGAATTTGTAGAAATATGTGACTCGACAATTAATGCTGAATGTTGTTTGAGACAAACTGTAACCTTGAAAACGGAAAATGTTAAACCGGTGCTGGAATTTTGTAACTTGAAAAACATTGGTAAACGAATAAATAATCATTTTTATATCAATCCAAGTAACATTGAATCTGCACTCCCTGATAAATCTGTGGAACAAATGGACACTGATGGCAACCTAGAAAATAACTTGCATTCCAAATCTTCGTTGAAGACAGAACAAAGTGTAAAGATTAACGAACCAGCAAACACGGGCACGTTTTTGGTCCATCCTCCTAGTGCAAGCACCTCAAGTGAAGAAGAACAAACAGGCTCGGGGGGAAATAGTAGAAGACGAATCAATGTTAAACGCTTTTGGAAAATAGTTAACTCCTTGGAAGCAAGTCAACGTAATGCCCTTATTCATGCTCTCAAGAATAAGTTGGCAGTTATCCAAGGTCAGTATGTGATAATGGCACTCTACTAGATGTCCTAACATTTTTCCTATCAATTTTGCAATGAACAACTGTACAGACCTAGTTGGTCTATAGGATTCACGTGGTACTGACCAGTCCTGTCCATGCTTATTGTAATTGCTCACTCGAAGGGATGAGATCACCGGCCAAAAACGTATTCTTGTGGAAAAAGCTATCGTTATCCATAGTCAAAGTAGCGAAACAAAAAAGCTATTACTATAGTGTTGTCTCATAAACTTTAATATGTTTTCTTCCCTAAAGGTCCACCAGGTTGTGGGAAGACATTCATCGGTGTTAAAATCGTTCAGCTGTTGTTATCTCTTACTCCGAAGCTCGACAAACCAATCTTACTGTTGACCTACAAGAACCATGCCCTGGACGAGTTCCTGAAACACATGTTGGGATTTTGTCGGAAAGATGACATGGTTCGGATTGGAGGAAGATCGAAGGAGCCATTGTTGGAAGAATGTAATCTAAAAAATATTGAAATATTGTATGAGAAAGCAACACACGGTGAAATTCAAAACACGAAAACTGAAATCGCCCACGTCGAATCGAAAATTAAGAAGATTTCCAAAGAAGTCGAAGCTAGTTCCTATTTGACACAAAAGAGTTTGGTGGACGAGCTGAGTGAGGAACAGATACAGTCTTTGATCGTTGAAGCTAGTTGGGGAATAAGACCGATGATTTATCCAGTGGGTAGGTGGAACTTCGCGAACAAAAGATGGATGAAGCGACTGTTGGACGATGTTTCACAAGGATATGGTTCGGTTAAAGAATTTCTTTATATAGCTCTGCGAGCCGGGATATCAAAAAACAACCGTGATGGTACTGACTGTATTAACGTTTTCCGTAAAGTGTTTCGGTATTGGTTCCCTGATCTAACAGAACTACGAAAAATGACGAAACTTCAAGCTCAGTTCATTTTGAAAATCCAAAGCGATAAGACAACTGATGAAGACACATCGAAAGAATCTCACGACGGTGATGGCAATGATGATAGCGGTGATGAAGATTACGTAAACCAATTACTCGAGACAAGAATGCCTGTAGGAGCAAGACAGGGAGTCAAGTCAGATGATCTTATACTTTTTGATCCCACAAATAGAACCGAAGATGATAGTCGAGTGAATATCTCTGACTATCCTCCGGACATGGTAGTAAATTCTCAAATTCGTTCCGTGAACAATCTATGGAGCCTAAATGAAACCCAAAGGCTGCAGTTCTTATACTGTATTCTAAACGAGAGAACTACAAGTGTCTATCAGGAGTTGAATGATCTTATCGAGCAGTTGCAGACTTTGAAGAAACGTAGAAAAGAGTTGGAAATAACTAACAAAGTTGAAATGTTGTCACAGAAAAAGATCATTGGTGTGACCATCACAGGAGCGTCTATTAATCATGATCTTATTCATCATATTGGTCCAAGTGTCGTCATCGTTGAGGAAGCCGCTGAAATTCTTGAACCCAGTCTCCTGGCTGCGCTGACCTCATCCATTGAGCACCTTATCCTAATAGGAGATCATAAACAACTCAGACCACAGGTTGATACCTACGAATTGTGCACGAACTTTCAGTTTGATATCTCGATGATGGAAAGATTGATCGAATCTGGATTCCCTTACAAATGTCTTGCTAAGCAAAACCGAATGCGTCCTGAATTCTCAGCCCTGCTACGTGACATCTACCCAAATCTTGAAGATAACCTGCCTCTGGTGTCGAAGAACGAACAATTGAAATGCATCGAGAAGTCAATGTTTTTCTGGTGTCATGATGATCCCGAAATACAAGATCGTACTTACTCGAATGTTAAAGAAGCAGAGCGTATTATAGCTCTCGTTGCGTATCTTCTATGCAATGGTGTCCGTCCATCTGATATCACAGTGCTAGCAGCCTACCTCGGACAGACTAAACTTCTCCGAAACATGATAAAACAAGAGAAAGCCAACGCGCCCGAATCTTTCGAAGAAATTGACAAAGATGGAGTAAAACGGGAAGGTTACATCCAGGTGCAAACCATCGACATGTATCAAGGAGATGAAAACGAGTACGTCATTATTTCACTGGTGCGCTCCAACGGAGAAAACAGGATCGGGTTTTTGAATAAAATGAACCGTCGCTGTGTGGCCCAGTCGAGAGCGAAATGTGGTATGTACTTCGTTGGTAACCATTACACCTTGTGTGGTGCCAGAGATTCGTGTTGGGCAGAGTTTATTAGTTCGATGATGAAACAAGATTGTGTTGGTAATGAATTTCCACTTTGGTGCACGAAACACGAAACATCAACGTATAAGGCCATAGATGACAAAACCATTTGGGCAGTAATCGCCGATCCTACACTCCTCTGCAAACAGCCTTGCGGTGATCCCTACCCAAACTGTGGCAGCCATCCTTGCAAGGAACCATGTTTCCCAAGGCACTTGCACACTGATTGTCCAGAACTTGTTGATGATCAATTCCCAGATTGTGGTCATGATGTAAAACGAAGATGTCCTGAGAAAATTTCTAATCTGAAGTGCAGAACTGTGGAAATCGTGGATCTTCCATGCGGCCACGAAGGCGCGAAAAAGTGTTTTGAAAAGGTATCTGATGTTCAATGCAAAATACCAGTCACTGCAACCTTCTCACGGTGCGGACACAAGACGGAGAAACCATGCCATGTCAAGATTGAAACGATGAAGTGTCAACACCGGTGTAAAGAAATGAATTCGTGTGGAATTCACCAGTGTAAAGGTATTTGTGAAACTCTTCACGGCCACGACACCTGCTCAGAAATGATCGATTACAAATTCCCAGAGTGTGATCATCCCTCATCAAAGAAGAAAAAATGTTCCGAAGAAATAACCTGGAACTGTAGATACAAAGTGACCTTCACAGGAGTTTGTGATCATGAAATCCAGAAAGAGTGTCACCAAAGTGAAAAGGAAGTGAAATGTGGTTTCAAACCTTGCATAAGGTTGCGGAAATGTGGACATCCTTGTCCAAATACATGCGGTGAAGACTGCGAGTTAGGCGATTGCGAGCACTGTTTACGTGTATACAGAAAAAAGATGCAAGAATTCCATGAAACGGCCAAAAAAAGGATCAAAGAGCTTGAAGAAAAAATTAAGAATAAAGCCATTCCAACATTCTCTTGGAAGAAAATCCGTAGCTCAGGAGCGACTGCAGCTGAATACCAGAAAGTCGAAGATCAAGTTCTGAAGTTCATTCAACCATGTCACCACTGGTTCCCTAAAATCACCAAAATTGAAAAAGTTACCAATCTTGTTTTAGAAAAGAAATTCGAAGCAGCAAAGTCCAGAGCATTCGGAGATTACATCGACACAAAGTTTCATGGCACTTCTAATAATGCCTTAAGGAATATCATCAAAAAGGGATTCAAAATGCCAAATCAGAATCCTCCACCTTCCAAACGTGGTATGTATGGCCAAGGAATCTACTTTGCTACGGATTCCTCCAAGATTTACACGCAAGGCTCTCGGAAGCTTCTTCTGTGTCAAGTTATTCTTGGAAGATCGAAGGAAGTCCATGAGGCTGACTACAGTTTGAATAAGAAAAAGCTCCGATCCAAAGAATTCGACTCTGTGTATGCTCCCCGAGGATCAGCTGTGAAGAGTGATGAATTTGTGATCTTTGATCCAGACCAAGCACTGCCTCAGTATATCATTCATTTCTCTGATACTGTTATACCACCATCTCCATCAACTCTTAATATTCAGCACACATTTACAGTAAAGAACATGGTACCGTTACGAACCGTAGACATCCAAGATCCATTCCAAATGTACTACAGTTGGGCCGACTCCCACTTCAGAAGAATGGCCATCGCGAGCAAACCACCTCTTTCCCCGCAAAGAGCTACTATTTCATCCATTGATATCGTCATCAACAAGGATCTTGAAGACAAGTTTGACGCGACGAAGAAGAAGTTTAAGAGCCAAGGCATTCCTGACAAGGAAATTCTTGCTTATCATGGAACTGATACGAAAAATATAGATAGTATCCTGAAGAGTAACCTACAGTTAAGCTTCGCCAAGCGGCAAGCCTATGGTAAAGGAAATTATTTTTCTGAATTCCCTGCAGTCAGTTTGGGTTATGGTGATGGTCTACTCTTGTGTCGCATCCTTCCTGGAAAAGAGTACGTCGACTCTACCCACTGCGACATACCACAAGACTATAATTCCAAGAAAGTGTTACGAAGCCAACCTACAGGTGATTCAGCAGCAGCTGCAAACGCGAGTGGTGATATGATTATTATTGAAAACTCTGATCAGATATTGCCTTTCTTTGTTATCCATCGTTGAAATGACAGTAAATATAGAACATTAGAAATATATTTTTACAAGTGTAGTGACAGTGACTTTAAATGATTGCTACACATTTCAAGTCACCGAAGAGGTGGTGTAATTGGTGGGATTATCGTTAATTGACTACATTTTAATTGTTATTTGGTATTAACTCTATATTTTCTTAGAACAAAAAGCTTTTTGAATAGGTACATATAGTGCTTATACGCCATATAAATAATAGATACTGTATCTATTAGCTCTTTGGTTCGTGCCTTATAACATAACGACACCAAATAGTAGTGTGAATTATTATTTTTCATTCCATAATTGTCATGATTTGAGGATTTTCTAGTTACAATTGAATACAATTTGTATCATTAGAGTAATAGTAATTTCATTTAGTAAAGAAATATGTTTATTTCATTTTTGGTTATGTTTTTTATGTCTATGCATATATAGCCAAACTTTCCAAAGGCCAAATATACCATAGCTCCCAATTATTATTACCCAGCTTATTAGCATACTGCCAGTTACTTCTTATACCTAGTAGTTGTCAAATATTTACAAATTCACCCAGAGCGCACAGAGTAAAATAATCAGATGCAAAATCTACAAAACAACAGCAAGGAACTAAAATAGCTTATCATGCTGACGATCCAGACGCGCGCGTATTTATTAATTAGCGAGCTTAAAGGCACAGTTCAGCCTTTTGAACGATGGTTTTTAAAGCGCATTTCAGCCCTGTTAATTGGAAAAACTAACTAGGAAAATCAATTAAGCATAATTCAAGATCACCAAACTTAATGTTTTTAACATTTTAAAACATTTTTATTGTTAAAAACATCGAGTTTACTGATTTTGAATTATGCTTAATTGATTTTCTAGTTAGTTTTTTCAATTAAAAGGGCTGAAATGCGCCTTAAAAACCATCGTTCAAAAGGCTGAACTGTGCCTTTAAAAGTGCACCAAATCTATGACGTGGACATCAAGAAAAACTGTAACTATTCCCACAGTTTCACTACATGGATAAAAATTATAGCCTCCAGTTAGTAAACAAAGTCAGAGACACAAGAGAAGCAAAATAAAACTGGAATTTCAAACGTTACCAACGGTTTTTATGTCACGTCCGCGTCGTAGACTTGGTGCATCTTAAGCTCGCTATTATGTGTTAAAGTATTTGTTGTTACATAAGCACCACATGCAGTCAGCAGCATCAATGGATCATGCAGAGGTTGTTCATTTATGTTTTTAAATGTGTGGTTCTTATAGCGCTGCAAGTCATCTCTACAGGGACGTCGCTATAGGGGGGGGGGGGGGGAGTGTAACACTCCCAATAATTCAAACGTTGGTCAAAATGGAACTGATATTTGCTTAAAATTGAAGGTAAAACTCGGAAAGATTTGGTCAAAGTTCGGGATAAAAGATGGTCGAAGTTGCTCAAGGTTATGAAATGGTTCGCAATTTTAAAGTTTTTGTTATGTTTGCGATGAAAAAATTGGAAGCCTTGCTTATCTTGGTCGAAAATTTTTGAATATGCCTATTTTAGTCGACAACATTTTCGGGAAAAATGTGTACGACTTGGTCAAAATCCTAGGAAATGTTGGTCAAAACATGACGACACCCACCCCACCCCCCTCCACCCCCAATGTTGATGGCTTCGCGACGTCCCTGGTCATCTATAGAAAGAGCAAGTCCAAATGTTTTCCTAGCTTGATCGCAGTTTGTTTCACACGAAACTCAAAGAAAACAGCAAAGGTTAGCGAGCATATGTAAATGAATAGAAAAACAAAAATAACAACAAATTCAATTCTGTAGATGTTGTTTTACATAAGTAATGCCCTCATTGTTTTTCAACAAGTGGTATATAATTGTCCAAAAATACGGATATTTTCCATTTTTTTAAAAAACTGTGTTGAGCCACCTTAAAAAAATGCGCGACATTAGGACTGTACCGCGTTCCGCCATTATATTCCATCATTCATTGTGACTAGCTCCCTACGCATTTGGGCTGATGTCCTACGATAAAGTCAAGGTTAAAAAGGTATGTAATGTATTTATAAGTACAGTCTGTATTTATATGTAATTGTATTTATAAGTACAGTCTGCATTTATACGTATTTAGAAGTACAGTATACTCCTTTAGCAACATATTATGCGATACAGCAGAAACGACGTAACTCCCCAGAAGAGCTGGGGGATTCAAATTTGGAGACATGCCGGATGTGCATGACCCAATCTTGAAAGCTGGTTTCAACAAACAAAGTTTCTTGATAAAGATATCATGACTTTGTAATCAACTTTCAAAGACACAATTTTAAATCAAATGCCTTACCGGTCTCTGTATATACTCACACAAATATTTATAGTGTAAACCAGTCCTTCGCTATATTTTGTAGTGTGCTTGTATTAATTCTTGACATAAAATCCTGGTTGTTTGGTGTAGCGAGCAAAGAATTTGCAGGCTTGTGAGTGTGTATGATGTAACTAGCTGACAAGTAAGAGCGAACTTCGACGTTTCGAGCGAAGGTCCTTGGTCTGGAGGTTAGTTATGTAGAGAGCGTTCGCGCTGGAAGCGTCAAACTTCGTTGTTATTTTTCAATTTCAGGTGGTTACAATCAACACAAAAGCCCGCAAGTTCGTTATACATATATAGAAACACACTGCATGCAGAGGTTTCTAAGGGGAAATATAGGAACAGCCTGTCTGTTCCTTTCAAAACATTCGCGAAGATATTTTCTAGTTGCAGTATAGTTTAAGATGAAGACAATGCCAAACTTCTTACTTATGTGAAATAGTTGAAGTTTGGAACTATAAAGAAAATGCATCAACGAAGATTTCTGTGATACAAATCACTACTTTCGTCTCTTTTCTTTGGCGCTTTGCTTTTGCCTAGCATTCCAACTGATTCCAAGAACTGGTTGTTCCAAGAACGACTCTGAACATCCAGCTTCCGTCGCATCAAAAATGGGCATATCATATGGCATGACCATAATAATATTGGCGCGTACGCTTTCCTCGTATGGAAGAAATGTTTTATGTTACATTTGTACAAAACTACCTCATCAGCGAACATTTAAAGTTTGAGATGGCATTTTTCACATGTTTTAGTTCATTTCACCTCCAGGAGGTTAAACTTTCGTCCACGTTTGTATACGAGTATATGTCCGTCTTACTGTGTAGGCCTAGTGTGTGTTTATCTGCATGATAATTTAAAAACTACAAACGTAAAAATACGAAAATTTGTTGGACTAATGGAGATTGCCCAAGGACAAATTGATCAAATTTTGGTTCCATTTGGGTGAAATTTAGATGAAAATTTAGCAAAAGTTTGTCTTGTTTTGCCGGGCAGAGACAAAGTAACTTGAATGCGTAATTAGCTCATTGTATGCTTTATTCATGATCAATATTCACAACAATATTAATAAAGTTGTTCATTCATTGCTGAGTGCTCGCAATATACTCGTGAAAATATGTTAATTTCAGCCTGAATCTTAATATAATCTTTTGTGAAATTAACTTTGAAATGATAGCGATATTAATTTTATTTTATTACAACGACGTTTCGATGCTTCCTGCATCATTATCTTGCATCATCACTTTAACTTGAAAATGATGCATCGAAACGTCGTTGTAATAAAATAAAATTAATATCGCTATCATTTGTTTCAAAGTTAATCTTAATATAATTTATAAACGTGATTCTTATAAAATAAAAAGTGTACTCACAGGACAGACATGTTTTCAGGTGATGAGAAAGTGAGAGTATATGGACAAGAAGAGAAGGCGAGCACCAACCCTAGGTTTGAAGCAGATCAAAGATCTGAAACAGACCAAAGAGACAACACCATGGTTCAAGGGAAGATTATGCCCGATCAGAAAGCAGACTGCTTGGTTTATAAGACCAATGGTAGAACTGCCAGACGGATATGACAAATCTAAAGATGTGTTTATGTATCCTAATTACATATCTGAATATGTTCTACCTGTGACGGCGGGTGATATGTTGGAATTCGTCTTAGGAGATCGAGACAAGACGAGACCTATGGCAAGGAAAGTACGTGTGTCTCAGTATTCACCGCGAACCCGCAAGGAGCTGATTGAGTATATCAGAACGTTAACTGAGGATTTGGATTGTGTTAATGTTAAGAAAATTCTTGTGCAAGTAATGCCCTGTACAGCAATGTGGAGGTTCCTTGGGTCACCTGTGTTTAAAAACACAGCAGGTTTGTATTAATTTGTTAAAATAAATATTCATTTATCTGTTTGTGCATGTACTACTTATCTGTTGTATTATCTATTATATTACTTAATTATCTACTTAATTATTGGTCTATAGCCAGGTATTAACTCAATAAACAGAAAGTATATTATGGCCTAACATCAAACTACATATTATCAATAGATATCCCTGTAGACGGTGATCCTGCTTGTGAATCTATTTGTGAACTTCTAATTTATACGGCAAATAAAATAAAATAGCACAAAGACAAACGAAATTAACATTATTTATACTAGATTTCATTCTTTACGTTTCGAATATTATTTCTTCTCAAGATAACTTAAATTAATAGTGAAACGTAAAGAATGAAAAAAAAATGTTTATAATTTTCGGAGTGTCTATTAATTGTTTTTGTTTGTGGAAACACCACGTAAATTTATTACTGCAAAGCTTTCGATCCGTAAGCCCGGATCTTCATCAGTGCTAATAATATGTGACTTGTTTAATTCACACGCTCCTTTTATATACAAGCTTTGCAGTAATAAATTTACGTGGTGTTTCCACAAACAAAAACAATTATATTTTATCGCCATGCAAACATTCAAAGGAGTGTCTATTGTTTTGTGCTTTATACTAGATAGCTCTGTCAGTTCTAAACTGTTCTCCCTAGAGAATAGTAGATTTGACTTCCACTATCGTTTCCACCACTATTAAAATGAACTTAAAGTTTATGTAAATCAGCATGATTTTATATCAGACATACAAACTCCTTCACCGTCATGATTTCTTTTGTGTTTTCTTCATGAATTATTGATGAGTTTCACAATGTACTATTAATACCCCCAATTTCAATGCCCATATTGATTGTATTGTCTCTTGCAGATGAAGAATTTACCAGTATGGCCTACGTTGAGCTCCTCTTAAGTTTACTCCAGCTAATCTTACATCATGGGAGATCTTTTAAGAATCTTTTGGAAGATATCATTAAGACCGTCACACGAGGAACAATATTTCAGGCTGCAAACGACCACAGCCTGCCCGCGGTTATCAAGTCTTGTAACTATGGAAACAATGACGAGTTTTATTCCGAGGAACAGGAAGCATTCTTATCCGCAGAGCTCGTTCGAAGTTTTTGCCATGATGTTGTTCGTCGGGTTCCGTCTGTCACTCGCTGTCTCTTGCCTACAGTGACAGCTATCAGTAAGAAAATAGCAGATGTTTCGACCCAAGATTTTTTATGCACTCTCTTATCGCTCAGTTCTTCAGGAGAAAGTGGGGTCGTCGCCAATGCAAGTGTCTGGATGGAACTACCTTTAATCCCTACTGATCACGAATTGGCTGGTAATTTGGTTGAAAAAGACAAAAGCTTAATGCGTGTGAGAACTCACCTTCCCTATGACGATCCCGAGCAGTACATGGATACCTACTTCCGTCTAGTCCGCGCGGAAACCTTTTCAGCAATGCAGCATGGGATAAAAGATCTGAAAACGTCCACATTGGATCTAAGAGATATGAATGTCTATTACAACATCCATCTTGCTGGCTTTGAACTTCAAAGCGGTCGGTTCTCCCTTGCCATTCATTTCATACCCACCAGGAATGTGAAGAAGTGGGAAGCCTCACCTCAACTCATGTTCGGTAACTTGGTGTGCCTGTCTATCAACCGGAAGTTTGATGACGTCATTTGGGCAACGGTGTCCAATAGGGATACAGAATTATTGAACAAACATCAGATCATTATGTTGGAATTGTTGGATGAGAATGTTAAGAGTATAAGCGTGATCATCAACTCGCTACAGACCCAAGGAGGTATTTATGTTTTTGCATGATTGTATGATTGTAGGGCGTTGGTAGCACAGATTAGTGCTATCTATAGTTAGTGCATGGCCCTATATCTCTAAAACTGGGGTTGAATTTCCCTCAGTTGCATGCGAGTGGAGTGTTTCCATTTTGACTCTACCAAGCAGATCACATGTTTTGTTGGGGGTATAGCAGTTTACTCCAGTGGTAGTAGCACTGCAAAACACCTCTAAAGAAAACAGAATAGTTCTAGATCTGGTAGAATTATCCAGTATAATAAAGACTTATCAGTGACAATAGTTTTTACATAATTTCGCCTGTTTTATAGGATCAGCAATCATGGTAGAATCACCGACCTACTACCATTCTCTAAGTCCTGTCCTAGGAAGTCTCAAAGAATTCGACATGGAAAACTTTCCTCTTCAAGCAGAAGTCATCTATGCTAAACCTGCGCAGGTATTACCTGGGTACTTAAAAGACGCCACGTTCCAAACTTCGATAGTTTGCTCGTCCAAAAATAAATCAAGTACAGCAGAAGAAAGCCAGGGAGATAAGCCTGAAGTAAAGAATTCCAGTAACACCTTAGAAACAAATGAAGGAGAGGTCTTTGAAGAATCAGTAACGGTGAGCAAGCGGTCAAATGAATCGTCTAATGCAGATCAGAGGGATAGTAGGTGGAATTTGCTTTTGAAAATGTTTGGAAGAACTACTTCTTCGAAAGCAGAACTAAGTGAAGATGATGACAAGGAGTCATCAAGCAATGTCCACAATATGGCAGTTGAATCTTCTTGTGTAAAAATCTCAAATGAATCACACGACACAGTCTCGGAGGAAAGGCTCGGAGGACGAATGAATGTGGAACGCTTTTTGGAAAGTTTTAACTCCAGTTCGGAATCCTCTTTGGAAGCCAGTCAATGTAAAGCCCTCGTTCATGCTCTAAAGAATAGATTGGCTGTTATTCAAGGTAAGTATTATAATGTCATTGACGTATTTCCCATCGAAATAGCCATAATCCCCAACATGTATTACACACGTATAAACGCACAGGTTGTAACAAACCTGCAGCAGACTTGTAGCAATGCTGTTCCGCCAACTTGTCAACAGGATGTGTTCCCAGCTTGTTGACAAGTTGTGAACAGCTTGTTGACAACTTGCTACAAGGTTGTTGAGCTCAACAACTTGTTATCGTCCTGCAATTCAAATTGATAACAAGTTGTGATTGACAACCTTGATAAAATAACAGCATTGTTACAACTTGTTGACAATCTTGCTAGAAGCCTGTTGCGAACACATCCTGTTGACAAGTTGTGACATTTTTACAATACGTTACGTTACATTACATCACAGGTGTGTACCTCATCGTTAGCACAAAAAGATCACTTGCACCATGACGAAGAGAGTCTTCGCCCGAAAATGCGAAGTGCTCTCTCTCTCTATCTTTTTCAGGTGGTTCTGACACAGATGACGACAGTTTATTGTAAAGTGGTGCCTTCATGTTTGAGATCACAACTAAGTGAATTCGACAATACCGAGCCCCACGACGCAGAATACTACACAGAAGTCCATCTCCATTGTTTTGTTGCGTAAGCGCTATTCGTCACTCAGCAAATACCGTAAACAGAAGCAGCCCCCCCCTAGAAATACTCAAAATGGCGCACGTCCAGGGGGGTGACTTCTTCTGTTTACGGTACTTGCTGCGTGACGAATCATGACGAATAACGCTTACGCAAAAAACAATGGAGATGAACTTCTGTGTAGTATTCTGTGCCCACGACTAGGAATGTTTTCTAAAATCTAGGTCCGCCTGGTTGTGGGAAGACATTCATTGGAGTGAAAATCGTTCAGCTGTTGTTATCTCTTACTCCGAAGCTCGAGAAACCAATCTTACTGTTGACCTACAAGAACCACGCCCTGGACGAGTTCCTAAAACACATGTTGGAATTTTGTCGGGTAGATGAGATGGTTCGGATTGGAGGAAGATCGAAGGAGTCATTGTTGGATGAATGTAATTTGAAAAATATTCAAAATTCAGTTTCGTACGAGAAAGCCACACGGGCCGAGATTCAAAACACAAGAACTGAAATCGTCGATATCGAAATGAAAATTAAGAAGATTTCCAAAGAAGTCGAAGCTAGTTCCTATTTGACACAGAAGAGTTTGGTGGACGAACTGAGTGAGGAACAGATACAGTCTTTGATCGTTGAAGCTGGTTGGGGAAGTGGACCAATGATTCACAGAGTGGGTAGGAAGATCGCTGACAAAACATGGATGAAGCATATGTTGGACGATGTTTCACAAAATTATAGTTCGGTTAAAGAATTTCTTCAGATGACTCTGCAAAACGGCGTGTCGAAAAACAATCATCTTGGTATAACTTGTATCAACGTTTTCAATAAAGTGTTTCAGCATTGGTTCCCTGATCGAAGAGAACTACAAAGAATGAAGGCATTTCAAGCCGAGTTCATTTTGCAGATCCAAAGCGAGACGACAACTGACGAAGACGCATCGAAAGAGTCCGAAAATGGTGATGACGAAAATGATAGCGGTGACGAAGATTATGTAAAGCAATTACTCGAGACAAGAATGGCTGCAGGAGCGAGACAAGGAGCCAGATCCAATGATCTTATATTTTTTGATCCCACTGGAACCAAGAACCGAAAAGATATTTTAGTCAATATCTCGGACTATCCTCCCGACATGGTAGTAAGTTCGCAAATTCGCTCCGTAAACAATCTCTGGAGCCTGAACGACGTCCAAAGGCTGCAATTCCTGTATTGTATTCTTAACGAGAAGACAACCAGCCTATCTCAGGAGTTGAATGATCTTATCGATCAGCTGCAGAGTCTGAAGAATCGTAGAGAAGAGTTGGAAATGACTGACAAAGTTCAATTTTTGTTGGAGAAGAAAATCATTGGTGTGACCATCACAGGAGCGTCTATTAATCATGATCTTCTTCATCAAATTGGTCCAAGTGTCGTGATCGTTGAGGAAGCCGCTGAAATTCTTGAACCCAGTCTCCTGGCTGCGCTGACGCCATCTATTGAGCATCTCATTTTAATTGGCGACCACAAACAACTAAGACCACAGGTTGACACCTACGAATTGTGCAAGAACTTTCAGTTTGATATCTCGATGATGGAAAGATTGATTGAATCTGGATTCCCTTTCAAGTCCCTTGCCAAACAGAACCGAATGCGACCTGAATTTTCAGCCCTGCTACGAGACATCTACCCAAATCTTGAAGATAACCTGCCTCTGGTGTCGAAAAACGAGCCACTAAAATGCATTGAGAAATCAATGTTTTTCTGGTGTCATGATGATCCCGAGAAGAAAGATCGTACTTACACAAATGTTAAGGAAGCAGACCGTGTCATAGCTCTTGTAATATATCTCTTATGCAATGGTGTCCATCCATCTGAAATCACAGTGCTAGCAGCCTACCTCGGACAGACTAAACTTCTCAGAAATATGATAAAACGAGAGAAAGCCAATACGCCTAAACTTTTCCAAGAAGTTGATGAAGATGGAAATGAGAGGGAATGTTTCGTCCAAGTGCAAACAATCGACATGTACCAAGGAGATGAAAACGACTACGTCATTATTTCACTGGTGCGCTCCAACGAAGAAAACAGGATCGGGTTTTTGAATAAAATGAACCGTCGCTGTGTGGCCCAGTCGAGAGCGAAGTGTGGTATGTACTTCATTGGAAACCATAACACCTTGTGTGGAGCCAGAGATTCGTGTTGGTCAGAGTTTATTAGTTCGATGATGAAACAAGATTGTGTTGATAATGAATTTCCACTTCAATGTGCAAAACACAAAACATCGAAGTATAAAGCTTTGGAAGACAAGATCATTCGTGCAGTGATTGCCAAACCTATCCTCCTTTGCAAGCAGCTATGTGGTGATCCTTACCCCCACTGCGACAAACATCCTTGCAGGCAACCATGTTTTCCAAGACATGTGCACACTGTTTGTCCAGAACGAGTTGATGACCAATTCCCAGATTGTGGTCATGATGTGAAACGAAGATGTCCTGAGAAAATTTCTAATCTTAAGTGCAGAACTGTGGAAATCGTGGGTCTTCCATGCGGCCACGAAGGCGCGAAGAAGTGTTTTGAAAATGTATCTGATGTTCAATGCAAAATACTAGTCACTGCAACCTTCCCACGGTGCGGACACAAGACAGAGAAACCATGTTATGTCAAGATTGAAACGATGAAGTGTCAACAGCCGTGTAAAGAAATGAAGACGTGTGGAATTCATCAATGTAAAGATGTTTGTGGAGAGAGTCACGGTCATGATACCTGCTCAGAAAAGATCGATTACAAATTCCCAGAGTGTGATCATCCCTCACCAAAAAAGAAAAAATGTTCCGAAGAAATAAGATGGAACTGTAGATACAAAGTGACCTTCACAGGAGTTTGCGGTCATGAAATCCAGAGAGAATGTAACCAAAGTGAAAAGGAAGTAAAATGTCCTATCAAACCATGCGGGAGACTGCGGAAATGTCGTCATCCTTGTACAAATGCTTGCGGAGATGACTGCGAGAAAGGCGAATGCAAGCTTTGTTTGCGTGTACTCCACAAAAAGATGGAGGAATTTCGTGAAGCGGCCAGGAAAAGGGTTAAAGAGCTTGAAGAAAAGATCGAAAAAAAGGAGATCCCCAATTTCTCTCGAGATGAGATTCGTGGCACAGGACCAACCGCTGCTGAATACCAGAAAGTGAAAGATCAAGTTCTGAAGTTCATTCAACCGTGTCACAAATGGTTTCCTACAATCACCAAAATTGAAAAAGTTACCAATCTTGAATTAGAGAAGAAATTTGAAGCAGCAAAGTCCAAAGCGTTTGGAGATTACATCGACACGAAGTTTCACGGTACATCTAATGACGGTGTGAAAGGCATCGTCCGAAAGGGCTTCAGAATGCCAGAGGCCAATCCCCGCCCGCCAAAAAATCGTGGTATGTATGGTCAAGGAATCTACTTCGCCACAGATTCGTCAAAGAGCGCGCGGAGTATTTATACCAAAGGTTCTCAGAAACTTTTGCTGTGTCAAGTCATTCTCGGAAATTCAATGACAGTCGACAAAGCAGATAACACATTGAATAAGAAGAAGCTCCGATCTAATCAATGCGATTCGGTGTATGCTCCTCGAGGAACAGAAGTGATCAATGATGAATTTGTGATATTTGATCCTGACCAAGCACTTCCTCAGTACATCATTCACTTCTCTTCTACCAATAACTTTGTACCACCGTCGCCAACAGCGCTGACAACCCAACCATTTCTCAAAACGAATATGAAAGCATCGAGAGCAGTGAATTTTCAAGATCCGTTTGAAATGTACTACAATTTTGCTGAATCTCATTTCAGAAGAATGGCCGCAAAGAGTCACCTACAACAAGTGACCATTTCTTCAATAGATATCGTTATCAACAAAGATCTGGAAGACAAATTCGAAGCAACAAAGCAGAAGTTCAAAAGCCAAGGCATTTCTGACAAAGAAATTCTTGCTTATCATGGAACTGCATCGACCAACATAGATAGTATCCTGAGGAGTAACCTACAGTTAAGCTTCGCCAAGCGGCAAGCCTATGGTAAAGGAAATTATTTTTCTGAATTTCCTGCAGTCAGTTTGGGTTATGGTGATGGTCTGCTCCTGTGTCGCATTCTTCCTGGAAAAGAGTACGTCGACTCTACTCACTGCGACATACCCCAAGGCTATAATTCCAAGAAAGTGTTACGAAGCCAGCTTACAGGTGGTTCAGCAGCAGCTGCCAACGCGAGTGGTGAAATTATTATTATTGAAAACTCTGATCAGATTTTGCCTTTCTTTGTTATCCATCGTTGAAATGACAGTAAATATAGAAGATTAGAAATATATTTTTACGAATAAGTGTAGTGACATTGACTTTAGATAATTGCTATACATATTTCAAGTCACCGAAGAGGTGGGATGAACTATATAATTGAACTATATTCTGATTCAATTTTGATCCTTTAATTGTTATTTTGTATTAACTTCGTATTTTCGTAAAACAAAAAGCTTTTCGAGTAGGTACATAAAGTGCTTATACGTTCATGCCTTATAACACAACGACAATTATAATTGTAAATTATTATTTTTTCATTCCATAATTGTCATGATTTAAGGATTTGCTAGTTACAATTGAATACAATTTGTATAATTAGAGTAATAGTAATTTCATTTAGTAAAGAAATATGTTTATTTCATTTTTTGTCATGTTTTCTTATGTCTATCTATGCATATATTTTGCCAAACTTTCCAAAGGCCGAAAAAACCATAGCTCCCAACTATTACTCCCAGCTTTTTAACATTCTGCCCAGTTACTTCTTATACCTAGCAGGTTTTCCAATATTCAAAAATTCACCACAAGTCACCCATAGCACATATAGTAATATAATCGGATGAAAATCTACAAAATAGCAGCAAGGAACTAAAATAGCTTATCTGCATGCAAACGATGTATAGACGCGCGTATTCATTAATTACGTGATTCACTGAAGGGCTTGAATCCGGGTTTTCCCATTAATTTAGTTTATTGTACGATCATCCAGATTAAATTTTTTAATTATTTCTGACGTTTCGGCTACCTACACGGCAGCCATTACCAAAGACGTATTATAGTTACAAAAAAAATTTACAGTTATAATAATTTTATCTTGCGTCAAAAATGACGTGCGCGTGTAAAATTTAATCTGGATGATCATTAATTACGTGTTAAACAATTTGTTGTTACACACGCACCAGATGCAGTCAGCAGCATGGATGGATCCTGCAGAGGTTGTTCATTTATGTTTTTAAATGTGTGGTTCTTAGCGCTGCAGAAACTACAGCAACCTGCAAGTTAGCCGTAAGGAGAGCATGTCAAAATGTTTTGATGGCTTGAACTCAGTCTGTTTCACACGACACTGACAGAGAACACCAACGGTTAGAGAGCATATAACTTAAATGAATAGAAAAACAACAACAACAACAACAACAACAACAACAACAACAACAACAACAACAACAACAACAACAACAACAACAACAACAACAACAACAACAACAACAACAACAACAACAACAACAACAAGGAACTAAAATAGCTTATCTGACAAACATTAGGTACATTCAGTAATTATCTACTAAATTAAGAATCTTAATTGATTACACGTGGTTGATTACACTGCATATATATGGTAGCGAGTAAAGCTACAAAGAAACTGCTTCAATTTTAGCAATCTATACGTATGTATATATAGAAATTTAAGTTATTATAGGACTACAAAAAGAAAATGGCATGTGAATGCGAGACATCGATTTCTTAAGTTTAAAGGTGTTTTTAATTAATTTGATATCGATACAAATTACAGTAATGTCTTTGAAGATTCAGTACAAAGATACCTCCTTTTTCTGATCAAAATTTTGCAGTGCACACATCGGATTACGTTGCCTAGGTCAGGGAAAACCACAGTTAAAATTGTTCTCTGAAAAGAAATTGTCTGAGACATATGTAGATCTATGCAAACTGCAGAAATCCCACTTCTATAATCCACAGTTTAAACAATAAGCCCACACGTATATATACAGGTGACACTGCAAGAGCTCTGTACAAGTTAGCATGTGTACTCAGGTGAAATTATTTGCGATGATGCTTCCTTGAGTGTGTCAACATGGGGCAAGCTAAAGTTTGCTTGGCTGTGGTGGCAATGGACCATTTGCGTAATACTAATAGACTAAATTTTGAACTAAACAAGTCTTGACCAAAATGTCATCACAGCTTGAAACAGCATCACAAAATTTGTAATATTACAAAGTTTCGTTGCAAAATGTTGTAAAATGCGTAAAATATAGCCTTGCCGGCGAAATTTGCAATTTTCAGTCATTTTAGATTACAAACGGGAAATTGACAGCCCCAAACCCTTCGAGGCTGTCAATTTCCGGTTTGTAATCTAAAATGACTCAAAATTGCAAATTTCGCAAGGCTATATTTTACGCATTTTACAACATTTTGCAACGAAACTTTGGAATATTACTAATTTTGTGATGCTCTTTCAAGCTGTAATGAAATTTTTGTTGAGATCAAAATTTAGTCTATTACGCAAATGGTCAATTATATTATTATAAATCTATAGAAAGTACGCGACAATTTGTGTCCACAATTACATATAATACTTGTGCAAATTTACTCCAAAACTGCGAATAGGAAGTTATGCGAGATTTAAAAATCCCGCGGTGTTTTCCACAACTCACAAGCAAATAAATTGTTCATTCAATCAAAACATATTAAAAGAAATAGTCTTTAGCTTTCTCACTGATTTCACAAAACACTGTCTAAATCCATACTATCTTCAATTTTCCTCAAAGCTTTAGTGAAGGCATTTTTAATTTGCATGAACGAAAGCGATTCATAAATTCCTCTTGCACAGTTGCCACCCATCTCGTACGGATCTTCAATCTTCATGCGGGGGCGATTATTCGAGACATACGCATTGCTTCGGCTGATGGAAACCACTTTACTGCTCCAGTTAAAGTTGGCATAAAAACGGAAAAAACCAACGAATAATTCACCAAGAGTTTGCTTGTTGGAAGATTTGAAATTCTTGAGTTCGTCTGGTAATTTCTTGGTCTTGAGTTGATCGATGAGTGCGGATGTCTGGCGACTGCTACTGAATAGTGATGGATAGTCGACCTGCAATAACGGGACAACGGGCGGGCTGCAGCCTGCCTGCAGGTAGTATATGTACAGCAACAGCAAAGTGAAACCTAAATGGAGAAGTTGAAGAAAATATATAGAATCACAAAGTTTAAATAAACCCAATGGACCATTCCCCAATTAGCCAAAATTTTGATCTCAACAAGTCTAGACAAAATTCCATCATAGCATGAAAGAGCATCACAAAATTAGTAATATTCCAAAGTTTCGTTGCGAAATGTTGTAAAATGTGGATAATATAGCCTTGCGAAATTTGCAATTTTCAGTCATTTTAGATTACAAACGGGACATGGTTACCACTTTTCCAAAATTTTGATCTAGACAAGCCTAAACAAAAATTTCATCACAGCTTGAAAGAGCATCACAAAATTAGTAATATTCCAAAGTATCGTTGCAAAATTTTGTAAAATGCGGATAACGAAACTTTGGAATATTACTAATTTTGTGATGCTCTTTCAAGCTGTGATGAAATTTTTGTCCAGACTTGTTGAGTTCAAAATTTTGGTTAATTGGGGAATGGTCCATTAGGTGCACGTGTTTATGTTCATTGCTAGACAATTCACTCACGTATACAATTTAAAGTGCACATTTGAAGAGCCTGGTAGCGAGGTTGACAGCTATTTTGAATTTTACGTATTTGTAATATCCAGTACATTTTAAGATGAAATGCAATATATTTTCTTTGTGAAAAACGTCATCTTCACGGTCTTTCTGGCTGTTGAAGTTTCCGGAACTGACGCCATTTAAGGCAATGCAAATGAGTTTTTTATTGTTTCTTGCAACAAAAATGACGTCAGTTCCGGAAATTTTAACAGGCAAAAAGACCGTGAAGATGACGTTTCTCAACAATAGCTGATTAATATGTGACTTCCTTACGTGATCACGTAACCAAAGCTATAAGAATATTCTCCTTCGTGCATTTTCCTACGCCATTTAGGTATGGATAAAACTAACATGCTTGTATGCAAATTTATCAAACATTGTCGTTATTTGTAGCAGGCATGGATGAATGAATATTATAATACTTTAGTCTTGCATTCTTAACTAAGTGAATACCAGAATTTTCCCCCGATTTAGAAATTGGTCGAAACTATGAAATTGGTTCACACTATATATACTCAGTGATGAAGCTAGCCATAGCGACAGTTTCATTCTACTCAAATTTCCAATGATTTGCATTATTCAAGCCTTTACTAGAAATGTATTGTCTTTACAGTGCGTCTACAGTAAGTGGGGCCACTTAGAGAACACTAACCAATCACATTGCAGAACAAACATAGAAAAAATCAACAAACGGCGCATTAGGCAAAAACAATTTGAACGAATGTCAAAAGGTAAAAATAGACTTGAAAAGAAAACACTGCAGTTACTGGCTTCCTGAAGCGAACTCCATGCTTTCTTTTGATTGGACGAGCTTTAGTTTGATTCGATTTCTATTTTTGGTCCGTAATGTGATCGGTTAGTGTTGCAGAAGTGACATTAGTGGCCCCACTTACTGTAGACTCACTGTAACCTATTTAGATGCAGGTTTGTTAGCATAGCATGACCAGTTGCGATGGCTTTGTCACTGTATAAACTATCCATACCTGAAAGTTTGTGGTCTCTTTGATTGATTATTCCAGCGTTCTTCGCCCACAGCTTGACGATGATACCAAGTGGCTGCACTCGTGGGTCAAGCAGAGCATAGCAACGTACAAGATAGGTGTGACGTATATTACGTTCACATTCAGAGTTGATGTCAGCTTCTAACGAATTTTCCTTGTCTTTTATTTTCAATATAGGAACCTTTGCTCCGTGCACTAGCTGTAAAGAAAAGCAGAAAACAGTCAGAAATTAGCAATGGCGGTAGAGAAAAGAAGTGTTCACATTTTGCAGTTTTAAGTGCATGGATATGGCGTGGCACAGTTTAACCATGGATAATAAAATACATGGATAGGAAACTAGCTGACGTGACCTAATGTTTTCAATGGGATGATGGCGTTGCAACCTAGTTGCAAACCAAATTCTCAAAAACGGCATGTTTAGCGATAATACAGCTAAACATTTTAGTCAAAGAGCAAATAAACATGACTAAGCCATTCTACGATGAAATCTCTAAGTATTCCCGGTCAATTTTAGCAAATATTTCAAGCACTAAACAGTGAAAAATGCATCGCAAATTTCGTAAAAATTGGCGACGCCAATTTCGTTGCTACAAATGTTAAAAAATACAAAACAAAGACGAAAAACACTTACCTTGAATACTTAATTTGTCGTGGCTTAGGCATGTTTTTAAAACAATTAGACCAGTTTATGCTTCAATATTACTCTTTTGAAGCGGAAAATATAGCGAAACAACAAAAATGCTGAAAATTTTCGCAATACACATGACGTCACAGATTGCAACTAGGTTTAGACTGTGACGTCAGGAAGTTTCCTATCCAGTTATTTTACAATCCATGGTTTAACTGAACTAAACAAACTAAATTAAGTGAATATTACTTATACTTTATGGGCGCTTTCCATTTAATAGCCAGACCGGTCAGACACGAATTTTTGTCTCTGTATCAATGAAAAGATCTGGTCTATGTTTCTCAAATATCTAGCGAAAAATGGAGCTCATTCTAATTTTGTCTAAATTTTCCGGTCAGAAAGGTCCGAAGCCCAAATGTTTTGTGTTCGATTCAACAATTTGACCGTTCTGACTAGTCTGGCCGTGTTAATGGAAAGCGCCCTATTAGTTCCACTTGGTTCAGTAAACAGGTTCAGATTTGACTTCCACTACCGTTACCATTAAGGGACAATTAACCAATCAGATGCGTTTGATATATCCGATTAACCAATCGGATGCGTTTGATATATCCGATTAACCAATCAGATGCGTTTGATATATCCAATTAACCAATCAGATGCGTTTGATATATCCAATTAACCAATCAGATGCGTTTGATATATCCAATTAACCAATCAGATGCGTTTGATATATCCAATTAACCAATCAGATGCGTTTGATATATCCAATTAACCAATCAGATGCATTTGATATATCCAATTAACCAATCAGATGTGTTTGATATATCCAATTAACCAATCAGATGTGTTTGATCAGTGAAAGATAGTGGTAGCGGAAGTCAAATCTGAACCACTCTATACTCTAGTGTTTCTGAAAGAAAAAACCTGTGTACCCTACATATGCTATTTGGTAGAGTTACTATATTGTGGGTTTCCCAGGAGATTTCTATAGGGAGTATAGGGAACCTATACATATTTCAGTTGCCATGGGAACACTAGGACAACGACGAAAAATCACAGGGGACAAGGGACATGGTGAAATCTTTGTGGGAAACAAGGAAATACAGATCCCCTCCTGGGAAACCTTTCACTATATATTCTCACACTGAAGTGAAAGAACTACATACCTTATTACAGGAATGAAATGCAAATCACAGAGGTAGAATATCAGGCACATGCACCAACTATATATATATATACTGTTCTACCAAAATACTTCTTTCATAAAACGTAAATATAATATATATGATATCATGCATGTATAAAATAGCAAAAACTAGTTACCGTGGTCGTATATTTTGAGTTTGGCAGCAACTTTTCAATGTTGTCCAAAGCGTGCAAACCGTAGACAAAACGTTCCCCAGAGATAAGCGTTAAATCACAATCACTCGCTTTAAAACCAAACATATTCGCAGAAGAACCTATCAGGACAAGTGAAGCTTTGGGATACTTCTGACGCGCAATAGACTGCAGTTCATCAATCCAGGCATGTTTCAATTCATCGTTTTCTTCCTTTTCTTTCTGAAGACTTTCAAACTTTCGCGTTATGTCCTCGCTTAGCGAGTCATTTGAACCCTTTTCGAATTTTCGCTTCATATCTTCGTCAGTTTGACCAAAACAACTGTTGCTTGTCAAACAATGCGTAAACACAGTTGGTGGTCGTGCATAATGTATTAGTTCCTGGAAAATGAACCTGGTTCACCGAATTTATATTGTATACTTCCGACTCACCCAATTTTACCAGTTGTGAAACTGACAAAGTAACCAATAATAATTGAGCATAGCACTGCGGAGGTCTGTGTTTCGCGACTTTTTGCCTGCTTTTAAAACTAATATCAACTTATATCAAATTTTAAAATTTTCAATTTCGAAGATAGCCGACTATAACATCAAATAGTTTGCAATTTCGAGATGACTTCCGGCCTTTTTCCAGGAATGGTGAAATAATTCCAGGTAAAACGCAGCTGTCGTCAAATGTCAAATATAGTCAACTGTAAATGATCGCATTCGTTTTGGATTTTGTTCTACTCAAAGTGAAAGCAAGCCACCCGCAAGCTATGTAGTTGATGATCATATTGATGTTTTTCTTTGAAACAGTTTTATTTGGTCTGATCAAGTTCAAACTTGAGGTAAGGCTTTTCATTTCTACTAAGATATTCGTTACTGAAGCCTGGTTCACGATTTTGTGTTTCTGACGAATGCAAGTGAACTCACACACAAAAGTATAGAGTTGCTTTTCAGAAGTAAACAATTCCTTTGCATGTCATTCATTCGATTACATTGGCCAGGAGAAAAAATCGCCGACAACATTGCTGATGTGAACCAGGTTTTAATCGATATCAAGGAATATAGAGATCACATGATTTTTGGCAGCAGTCATATAGTTCTATTCTTCTACAAAATCTGTTCTTTAGTTTAGAATGTAACTATAACCGATTTTGTTGAATAAATTTGAAATCCATGCACAAGTTACATATATAAAATTAGCATAAAATGAGTCACCCTCGTAATATATATTACTTATTAGCCTGTGTAAAATTAGTTAAATTACCCCAGTAATTCTATATTAGCCGGTGTAATCATATATATAGCTCGAATACTTAACTTGTTAACAAATTTTCAACTTATCCACAAAATATAATTTTCTACATATATAGTTTCTTAATTTAATACTAAGGACACTACTTATAATATACGAAGGATGATATTACTGCGATAATACTTAGTTTGTAAAGTTCATGAAACTCTTTTAAAAGCGATGTTAAAAATCAAAAAATGGCAAACTATCGTACATGCAAATCTTCAACAACACAATAATTTCATTAATTTATGAGTGCATGCTTGGACAGCATGCATGGTAACCGTTTCCAAAACAATGATTTTTAACATGTGAATATAATGCAGCCGCGCAGTTACATGCCTATTATTGGGCAAGAAATATTCTTGAATTTGTTTGTTGTTATCATATGTAAATGTTTATATGCACAGCCACAGTGCCACAGATAATATTTTCATTCCTTATTTGTCACTTTCGCTTTCACAAGAGCTAGGATGCTAGCTTTTGAACAGTCATAGAAAACTCGCTCGTCTGTAACCGGCTTTATAGAGCGAGAAATTAAAGATTATTTTGTGACAAACAACCAAATTCATCAATATAACACGAGAAATGCATCAAAACTTCACAAATGTTATAAAAGAACAAATTATGTAGAGCACACTCTCTCAAGTAAAGGAGTTGACGTATGGAATTCATTAGAAACATAATTTATAGATATAAATTTCTACAGCACTTTCAAAAAGCAAATTAAACAACATTTTTTACTATACAATGTATAAGACATGCTATAAAATATTCTGCTATTTGACAAAATTAATAGTATATTGTAGTCTAATTCTTATAAGAACCCAAATGCATCTACAACATTGCCATTGGTATTCACTTCTATAATAAGAACAATTTCTCTTCTTTTTCTCTCTCTCTATGATCGCGTAAAGCGTGAAACTCAGAGTAGCGACGCAAACATTCAAACCTTGACTGAATTATATATATACATAACATATATATATAATATATATATATATATATATATATATATATATATATATATATATATATATATATATATATATATATATATATATATATATATATATATATGTAATGTAATATATATATATATATATATATATATATATATATATATATATATATATATATATATATATATATATATATATGTGTGTTTGCGATGTTACTCTGAGTGCATATCCACACCGGGCGAGCTTGAAAAATATGCCCGGCCACGGTGGGATTCGAACCTACGACCTTTGGAATACTAGCCCAATGCTCTTCCAACTGAGCTACGCAGTCAGGACCTT